CTACTTCGTTGTCGTCTTTTTGTCCTCCTCTTCAACGACTTCCCCACCCTCCCCCTCCTCCTCCTCCTCCTCCTCCTCCTCCTCCTCTTCCTCCTCCGCCCTGTTCTACTACTTCGCCCTCGCTTTTTCTATGACTTTGCCACCCTCCTCCTCCTCCTCCGCCGCCTCCGCCGCCATGGCGATGTTGTCCTCCTCCTCTTCCTCCTCCTCCTGCTCTGCGTCCTCCTCCTTTGTGTCCCGAGGAAACGTAGTACGGAAAAAAAAAAAAAAAAAGGGAGACTTCACCTTTCCTTTTCAGATTTGCCGCGAGGCGTGATGGCGGAGGAGGAGGCGGAGGAGGAGGAAGAAGATGAGGAGGAGGAGGAGGAGGAGCAGGAGGAGAAGGAGAAGAAGAAGTAGAAGAAGAAGAGGAGGAGGAGGAGGAGGAGGAGGAGGAGGAGGAGGAGAAGAGAAGAAGAGGAAAACGAGGCGCCCCGAGACGGCCCCCTTTTCGAATTTGAAAAACGTCCTGATCTGGGCCGTCCATCTTTATGATCTGACGGTCCAGATCAGCCCCTTTTTTTTTCGGGTTTTCGAGGCCCTGGCGGCCTTGAAGAAAATGTCGTGCCCGACCGTCTGCATCCCCCCTGGGTGCACTACCCCCGCAGGCCCTCACATTGTCTCGTATACCCCCCCCCCCCCCTATATTTTTTTAGGGGGTCGGACGAGTTGTCCTGGGCGGACCGCTCCAGGTGTCGTCCGACAGGACAACTCGGACATCCAGGGAGGTCCCTGACGTCCACCCTGGTAACATAGAAAATATGCATTTTTTTGCCACCATTTTTTCTTTTTTATTTTCTCACCAGAATTTGGTTCTAGGTATCCAGTCCAGAAACCTTTTTTTCCCAAAGGGATCAGCACTCAATCAGAGTCAATTTACATCCCTGATTTTTCAAAGTACTATGAGCGCGTAATCTCCCCAAAGTCAACCCACTCAAGAGATTTTTAGCGTTGTCGGCATTACACATGGCTGTTTATCTTAACACATACTTAGTACTTACACTAGGACATTTTCGGCCAAAAAAAGACTGAAAAAAGTACTGCTGTCAATCGCAGCCGGTAGGCCCATAGACCCTTCCTGGGACCCGCCACCAGCATCATGTGTACCACCCTACTTGTGGTCCTCGTGGATTTTTTTTTTTTGTTTATCGTCACTTGTGGAAGTTTTGTTCTGTGCTCAGTATTTTTCAACATGGTCACATTGTGGCTGTGAGATTTTCAGATCAAGTGCCAGGGGACCGACCGACGTATAATTGAAACCAGAACTAAACCTCCTCAAGTGAGCCATGGCCCGTGGGACCACATTGGCACCCTGCCCATTAGACACCAGGACCACCGCAACACTGAGAAGGTATCTGATGCAGTTTTTCTCGAAAAACAACCAAGTATCAGGTGTGACATCCTGCCTTCCTTAAGTTTTTTGGAACTTCAGGCTCGGGCGGCCCGATTTGAGGTCCCGCCTTCCTGGATTGTTCATATCTGCCTGTAAAGTTTGAAGATCAGTCGCCAGCGATGAAGAATCTGTGCAAGTGGGGCCTCAACCCTGAGAGAAGAGCAGAGCCAGTACCACCTGCTACTTAATAGGCTGCAGGCCGGTTCTACCGGATCACACACTGCCACATCAGACATGTTGTCATGTACAGCAATCTTGTCTGTTGTTTTTCTTTTTTTCCCCCTTCCATTCTGCCATTCTGTACGGCCTGCGCTTTCCAAAATTTTCAAAAATCATGTTTCTCCGTGGATGGTGGGGCCGGACCCTCAGTTAGGACAAGTTGGCTTTCAGCCTCCCCTTGGCATTCTCAACCTAGTTACCCTAAGGACGGGCCCCCTTGTGGCAATGTACGGTTGCGCACAGTTTGTGTGAACCTAGCTCGAATCTGCGTTGCACACCGGCGAACGCGAACACGTTCGCCCGGACGCGTTCAGGCAGGATAATCTGGCGAACTTGGAACTTGTTTTTTTTTTTTTTTTTTTTTTCCAAGGGGTCGGGGGGCATAGGCCTGTGTCCCTGACCCCCCCTCCGCCCTGCTATAAGAGCCGTAAATAGAGCCTCCGTGTGTGTGTGTGTGTGTGTGTGTGTGTGTGTGTGTGTGTGTGTGTGCGTGCATGCGTGCTGTCATATTCGCTATACACTAAAAAAAAAATTACGTGTGTGTGTGTGTGTGTGTGTGTGTGTGCATGCGTGCTGTCATATTCGCTATACACTAAAAATTTTGTAAAAAAGCATGACGGTGCCAGACTGTTTCGTCGGACTTTCACCGAATCATCAGGAGGTTGAACCCCGACAGTCTTCCGTGATGTGTGTGTGTGTGTGTGTGTGTGAGTGTGAGTGTGTGAGTGCGAGTGTGTGTATGTGTGTGTCTGTGTGTATGTGTGTGCGTGCGGCAGACATTGCATTGCACAGTCTGCTGCTGACTGACAAAGTGTGTGTCTGTGTGTGTATGTGTGTATGTGTGTGTCTGTGTGTATGTGTGTGCGTGCCAAGACCCCAACAAACACCAAACTCGGCACACACAGACCTTGACCAAAAATAAAACAGGGCAGGAAAAAAAAAAAAAAAAGCTGAAAAAATAATCCCCAAATGCACTTTTCACTGTTTTCAGTGCTGGGGGGTTACCCTGGGCTGAAAAGTGGGGTTCCCTGTTAAACCACCAGTACCTGCCGGTTGTTAAGGCCCGTGGCTCAGCCTACCGGTAGGCCGGTCGTTCCCGAGCCTCGGACTTTATTGCCGAGCCTCGGACAACCGGTAGGACATCACGGAAAAAAAAAAAAACAAAAAAAAAAACAAAAAAAACAAAAAAATTACATACAACGTTCAGCAAAAGAAAAAAAAAAAAAAAAGGAAATCA